GGCCGAGCCGGGGGGCGGCCCGTGCGCGGAGCCCCCGCCGCCGCCCCCGCGCTGCTCGCTGTTGGAGCTGCCTCCCGAGCTGCTGGTGGAGATCTTCGCCTCGCTGCCCGGCACCGACCTGCCCAGCCTGGCCCAGGTCTGCACCAAGTTTCGGCGCATCCTGCACACGGATACCATCTGGAGGAGGCGCTGCCGTGAGGGTGAGTGCCCAGGGGTGGGGGCGGCTGTCCCCGAGACGTACGAGGTGCTTGAGCCTCGGAGGGGTTCGGGTCCTGGGAGCAGGCGGTGCCAGGGGCCTGGGGGCGACACGGATCCGGGACGCAGGGCCCGGCGACGAGACGTAAGGGAGGGATGGGGAGCGGCGGCGGTGGAACCCACGTAGGGGGCTCAGGCAGGGCGCGGGGTGCCCGTCGCTGCGGGGCCCGGACTCTGAGCCCAGCGGGCGGCGTTGAGCTGGGGGCTGGAGTCCTTGTGACTGCGTGACCCTGTCGGGTCAGGCGGGGCGAGAGCTGACCTCTGTGGGCCCTCCTCTGCCCTCGGCCTCTGAAGGGTGGAGCTGGGGTGGAGCGGAGAGCGCTGGGCTGGCCCGGGGAGGGAGGTGGGAGTGCGCTTGGGTAGATTCGGGGAGCCGCGGGAGCTGGTGGGAAGGTGTGGAGGGGCCAGTGGAGCCCGGAGCAGTAGGAGAGGGGCTCAGAGTCTGCCCTCGCGAACGCTGCGTTCACGTGCGGGGGCACGGCCCGGGAGCGGTTAGGTTAGTAACCTTAGGCGCTGGTGGAAAGGATGGTCAAGCTAGAGTTCGAGACTCTGCGTTTACTCATCGATAGAGCTCTGATGTTCAGTCAGCTCTCATATTTTCGCGAAAAGGATAGTTAAAACGACAAAAAAAAAAAAAATCCAAACCATGCAGAACACCAGCAGAAAGAAAGTAAAAACGATCAGAGACTCCACCCATCTCACCCCGCAGTCAGCGTAAACGCTCTCAGCACTTCGGGAACCGTGCCGAGCCCTGTGCCTTGTAACCGGGGTGGGCGCATCCTCGTCTATCCTCTTAGCGACCGTTTAATACGAAGGCTTCATGGCATTCCGCCTCTGGAAAGGCACAGAACAGTCTCGGATAAACTTGTCATGACCAGTGCTTTGGAGGCTGCTTGGGCCTCTTTATAGAAATGTAGATTTATATGTACGTTTTAGAACTTGTGAAATTACCTTCTTAGAGTGCACTTCCCGGAGTGAGACTGGGCACCAGGGTGTGCACCTTGGCAGAGCCTTTGCTGCTGGGTGCAGCGTGTGAGTCTGCACCTTAGGAAGGCGGTGAGAAGGCCTCTCTCTGGGTTCTTCCGACAGGAGAGCTTCTTCTCTGGTCTGGTGACCAGCGTGCTGGTCAGGGCTCCAGGCCTGGAGTCCGCCACCTTGATTTCTGGTCCAACCACTGCGGTGAGATCCTGGACAGGTTCATCTGCCAAGTCTTAGTGGAAGCACTGCTTCTGTACGGTCACTTCTGTAGGGCTACCTAAGGTGATCAGTGCATGTGAAGCCTCAGCCCACATGTGGCGATTTGGCTATGATGCACCTTGGTTATTTTCTTCCCTTTTTTATTTTTAATTTTTAGTTGATTTCTATTGTCCATGACTGGGAGAGAGAGATGGAAAGACAGCACCCTCAGTAGGATCTTGCCATTGTAATACACCTTCGCCTCAGCCAGCCCTGGGCTGTGGGCACATGTATGTCCAGTTCACTCAGGGAGATCTCTGGGTATGAACCCAGGACTTTCCATGTGGGTCAGCTGTGCAGATTGTCCTGTTTTGTCACTGCACCATCACCTGGTCCCTTTTTCACCATTTTCATTGTATCTTTTGTGAGTTCTCTATTTTTTTTTTGTCTCTTTCCTCTTTGGGTGTCTGTTATTTTTCTTTTTCTTGTTTTATTTTTATTTTTATTTTTTATTTTTTAGAGGTTTTTGCTATAGAGCGTGTGTGCTCGCCAGAAAGTCAGAGAGACAAAAAGTGAGAAATCACCTCCCGGGCGGATGGCCACGTTGCAATCCCTTCTCCTCTCAGGATCCTGGGCACACGCACACACGCGCCTGGCATGAGTTTAAGCCACCAGGTCCAGGACTCGAACCGCAGTCGACTACATGTGAGTCCAGCGACATAGCCATTACTCCATCTACTGGTCTTGGGTGTCTAGTGTTTAAGAGAGATTTTTTTTTTTTTTTTTTTTTTGCTATAGGGTACATGTGCTTACTGGATAGACAGAGACAGAAAGCGAGAGATCACTCTCAGGGTGAATGGCCACCCTGCAATCCCTTCTCCATTCTCCTCTCAGGATTTTGGGCATGTATGTAACACACCCAGTGGACGTTTTTAAGGTGCTGGGTCTGGGACTCGAACTGTAGGTGGCTATGTGAGAGTCCAGCGACATAACCATTATGCCATCTGCTGGTCCCTTAGGGTGTCTATTTTTGTCTTACAAATTTGTAATAACTCTGAATATTAGTGATATTAACCTTTTGACATCTATGTGGCAAGTCAAGTTTCTTTTTTAAAATTTTTAAGAGATTTTTGCTATAGGGCACATGTGCTTGCCAGAGAGACAGAGACAGAGAGGCAGGAAGCAAGAAATCACCCCCCGGGGGTTGGCCGTGCCACAATCCCTTCTCCTCCACTCTCCTCTCAGGATCTTGGCCATGCACACACATGAGCCTAAGTTTTAAACCACCAGGTCCGGGACTCAAGTCGCAGTAGACCAGGTGGGAATCCAGCAATGTAACCAGTATCCATCTGCTGGTCCCATAAAGTTGTTTTACATTTTGAAATCGAGGCAGAGAAAGCCATACTTGCTCTGTGGACTCAGTCTTCTCGAGAATTTCACCTGGCATTTGCGCACCTTTAGGGTTCAAATGGGCCACAAGTGTCGCATCGTGCTTCACCGAGTCTCCGTCAGTGGCCCGAACTGTAAAGTATGTGGTTCAACTCCAGAAACAGGGTCATGGGACCAGCAAATGGCCTATTGGTTACATCGCTGGACTCCCATGCATTCAACTGCGGTTTGAGTCCCAGACCTGGTGGCTTAAAAAATCTCACGCCGGTGCATGTGTGTCTATGCCCAAGATCCCAGGAGAATGGAGGAGCAGGGATTGCAACGTGGCCATCTCCCCTGGGGAGTGACTCACTTTCTGTCTTGCTGTTTCTCTGTCTCTCTGGCTAGCACACACACCCTATAGCATCTAAGTGAATAAATAAATAAAAATAAATTAAACAAATAAAAAAAAATGAAGCAGACTTTCATTTATTCAAAAATAAATGAAAGAGACTTGCTGTGTAATTGGAAAACTCCAAGGTATGCCACAGAGTAAACCTACGTGGAGGTGCAGCTCAGACTAAACTCTCACCATCACCAATTAAATATGAGAGCCCCAGCAAAGGTGTGGGAAGGAGCTGTGGGTATGCGTGGGACTCTTCAGCCCTCCTGTGTCCCTGCCACAATCCCCTAGCCTTCCTAAAACATCAGGTGCTATGATGTAGAATCGTCTTGTTTGATAACACTTGGGAGAATTCTCATTTTGAGGATTTTTTTAAAAAATGAAAAACAGATCAAGCAGGGATATTCCCAGCCATCCTGCTAAAATAACTCAAATCTTTTGTCATGTTTGATTTGGCTCCTTTACCTCTTTTTAAGACATCTCAGCGGGAACAAGCAGATGACATAGTGGTTGCATGGTTGGACTCCTACATAGCTGACTGCAGTTTGAGTTCTGGACCTGGTGGTTTAAAACTCACACTGGGTGTGTGTGCATGTGTGTCCAAAATCCCAAGAGTGGCTTCTTGCTTTCTCTTTCTCCAGTGAGCACACGCGCCCTGTGGCAAAAATCTCTCTTTAAAAAAAACAACAACAAAAACCTCAGCCAATGCTCAGGTCCCTCTGCTCACTTCTTCCCATTTTGAGAAGCAGCGGTGTCCTGGGTTAAGCGTGCGTTTTCCTGGGTCGTGTTTTGTGGGGTTTGGACTCATAGAGCTGTATCACGCAGTGGATGTCACCCTGTGTCCATCTTTCCCAGTAAGCTTGTGTCCTTCAGGCCTATCCTTGTCAACACATGGAAGTTCAGGTCAGCTTTTTAAAATTTTTATTTCTAAAAGGAGCGTGTGCTCACTAGAGAGAGGCAGGGGGAGAGAAAAAGTGCGAAATCTCCCCCAGAGGAGATGCCACACTGCAGTCCTTCTGTTCCATTCTCCTGTGAGGGTTTTGGGCACACAGTCACACGTGCCTGGCGTGTTTTTTCGAGCTACTGGCTCTGGGACCCAAACTGTGCAGTCGGGTGTGTGGGATCCTGCTTAACTTTCATGCTGTCTGCTGGCCCTAGTTCAGTCCTCTTAAATGCTGTGTGGTGGTTTATAATCTGAAATGGTCACAATTTATTTATTTAGTTATTTATTTTTCATTACACACAGCGCGACGGGGCACGGTCTCACCCATCTGTGCATGCACTTATGTTTGCAATTTCTCAAGCAGCATATCCAGAACGGTCTTGCTGAGGTGATGGGCTACGAGATGCAGTTTGGCTAGCCACTGCCCAGTTATCTCCCAGCGCAATTTTACCTGTTAAACACCTATCACCAGGACGTGGCAAGGCAAGGCACAGGAGATGAAGCGCTCCAGAAGCCTAGTTACAAAGGAGCTGCCACTCATGCTCCACGTACCTTACATTTTCCTATTCAGTCAAATGTCTGTTAAATTTTCTTGAATTGTAATGATCTTTCCTTAAAACCAAGTGACAATTTGGGTAAAAAATGGAATGTCATTTTAATTTGCATTTGCTTGAGAACTAGTGAGGATGCACATTTGAAACATGTATTGGCCACTGGATTTCTTTTATTTGCTTCTCTTTAATCTGTGCCCTTTTTTGATTTTTTTTGGTTTATGCACTTATTTATGTAATCTGTATTGATTTCTGTTTAATACATTGCAAAATATTTTCTCATTGACTGTAGTCATTAGTTTTTCTTAGCGTCTTTTATGGTGACTTTGACTAGTGCAAAATTTCCACCTTGAATCTAAGTTACCAATTTTACAATTTGGGTGTGGGTAATTATTTGTTTCTCCGAAGTTACAAACATGGTCGGCAGCTGGGTTCTCAGAGTTTCGCCTGCTTGTCTTAGCGAAAATTCCATCTCTTCTATCGATAGGTTAGGATTTGGACAGT